AAGTTCAATATTGGATTAAACTTTTATAGCAGCAAAAATCAATGATATTCATACTTAGAAAATTAAGTGTTTGGTGATAATTAGAGGTTGAGATGAAAATATCCAGAAACAAACAGAATGAAAATCCGGGGTCAGAGTTCCCCAATTTGCCGCATTAATTGGAGGCCTCTGCTTTGTTTTTCTTATATTCTTTTTTTTTTCTCTAATTATGCCGAACATAAATTGCTAATTATCACTTTCCACTTGTTTTTTCTCATTATCAATGTCGTTTATAAGTTTATGTTGATTTTTTTACACGCTGAGATTTTAATTTTTTAATCATGTTGATAATATTTTTTTCTGTTGGGTGTGTTAATGATTTGTTAAGCCTCGGTAAATACGTCGTGTGTTTATTCTGATGTCGTCTATATATATAAAATGGTATTTACAAGAATGCAAAATAGGTTTCCAGATTTCAGCTGTGCCCTGGAGTGTGGCCCCTCCCCCTCATTATGCTCAGACATGGATCTTCGTGTTGTGCTTATACCAGAAGGGGGAGGAGCTTAGCAACTCGTTGGGGATATATCCCTTTTTTCAAGCGCCATTAGCTATATAAAAAAAATACCATATTGCCCCAAGTATTGTCCCCACCCCCCCCCGTATATACACTATATTGCCCCAAGTATTGTCCCCGCCCCCCCCGTATATACACTATATTGCCCCAAGTATTGTCCCCCGCCCCCCGTATATACACTATATTGCCCCAAGTATTGTCCCCGCCCCCCCGTATATACACTATATTGCCCCAAGTATTGTCCCCGCCCCCCCCCCCCGTATATACACTATAATATTGCCCCAAGTATTGTCCCCCCCCCCCCCCGTATATACACTATATTGCCCAAGTATTGTCCCCGCCCCCCCCCGTATATACACTATATATTGCCCCAAGTATTGTCCCCGCCCCCCCCGTATATACACTATATTGCCCCAAGTATTGTCCCCGCCCCCCCCCCGTATATACACTATATTGCCCCAAGTATTGTCCCCTCCCCCCCCCCCCCCCCCCCCCCCCCTAAATACAACGTATATACACTATATTGCCCCAAGTATTGTCCCCGCCCCCCCCCCCAGTATATACACTATATTGCCCCAAGTATTGTCCCCGCCCCCCCCGTATATACACTATATTGCCCCCAAGTATTTGTCCCCGCCCCCCCATATACACTATATTGCCCCAAGTATTGTCCCTGCCCCCCCGTATATATACACTATATTGCCCCAAGTATTGTCCCCCCCCGTATATACACTATATTGCCCCAAGTATTGTCCCCGCCCCCCGTATATACACTATATTGCCCCAAGTATTGTCCCCGCCCCCCCGTATATACACTATATTGCCCCACATTATTGTCCCCGCCCCCCCCCGTAATATACACTATATTTGCCCCAAGTATTGTCCCCGCCCCCCCCTATATATACACTATATTGCCCCAAGTATTGTCCCCGCCCCCCCGTATATACACTATATTGCCCCAAGTATTGTCCCCGCCCCCCCGTATATACACTATATTGCCCCAAGTATTGTCCCCGCCCCCCGTATATACACTATATTGCCCCAAGTATTGTCCCCCCCCCCCCCCGTATATACACTATATTGCCCCAAGTATTGTCCCCGCCCCCCCCCGTATATACACTATATTGCCCCAAGTATTGTCCCCCCCCCCCCCCGTATATACACTATATTGCCCCAAGTATTGTCCCCCCCCCCCGTATATACACTATATTGCCCCAAGTATTGTCCCCCCCCCCCCGTATATACACTATATTGCCCCAAGTATTGTCCCCGCCCCCCCCCCCCGTATATACACTATATTGCCCCAAGTATTGTCCCCGCCCCCCGTATATACACTATATTGCCCCAAGTATTGTCCCCCCCCCGTATATACCCCCCCCCCCAAGTATTGTCCCCGGCCCCCCCCGTATATACACTATATTGCCCCAAGTATTGTCCCCGCCCCCCCCGTATATATACACTATATTGCCCCAAGTATTGTCCCCACCCCCCCCCGTATATACACTATATTGCCCCAAGTATTGTCCCCGCCCCCCGTATATACACTATATTGCCCCAAGTATTGTCCCCACCCCCCCCCGTATATACACTATATTGCCCCAAGTATTGTCCCCCCCCCCCGTATATACACTATATTGCCCCAGGTATTGTCCCCACCCCCCCGTATATACACTATATTGCCCCAAGTATTGTCCCCCCCGCCCCCCCGTATATACACTATATTGCCCCAAGTATTGTCCCCCCCCCCCCCCCTATATACACTATATTGCCACAAGTATTGTCCCCGCCCCCCATATATACATATATTGCCCCAAGTATTGTCCCCGCCCCCCGTATATACACTATATTACCCCAAGTATTGTCCCCGCCCCCCGTATATACACTATATTGCCCCAAGTATTGTCCCCCACCCCCCCATATACACTATATTGCCCCAAATATTGTCCCCCCCCCCCCCGTATATACACTATATTACCCCAAGTATTGTCCCCGCCCCCCCTAATATACATATATTTGCCCCAAGTATTGTCCCCGTCCCCCCCCGTATATACACTATATTGCCCCAAGTATTGTCCCTGCCCCCCGTATATACACTATATTGCCCCAAGTATTGTCCCCGTCCCCCCCGTATATACACTATATTGCCCCAACTAATTTGTCCCCACCCCCCCCGTATATACACTATATTGCCACAAGTATTATCCCCGCCCCCCCGTATATACACTATATTGCCCCAAGTATTATCCCCGGCCCCCCCCCATATATACACTATTTTGCCCCAAGTATTGTCCCCGCCCCCCCCCGTATATACACTATATTGCCCCCAAGTATTGTCCCCACCCCCCGTTTATATACACTATATTGCCACAAGTATTGTCCCCGCCCCCCCCCGCTATATACACTATATTGCCCCAAGTATTGTCCCCCAACCCGTATATACACTATATTGCCCCAAGTATTGTCCCCCCCCCCCCGTTTATACACTATATTACCACAAGTATTGTCCCCGTCCCCCCCGTTATATACACTATATTGCCCCAAGTATTGTCCCCCCCCCGTATATACCGCCTCCAGTATATACACTATATTGCCCCAAGTATTGTCCCCGCCTCCCGCCCCCCCGTTTAATACACTATATTACCACAAGTATTGTCCCCGTCCCCCCCGTATATACACTATATTGCCCCAAGTATTGTCCCCGCCCCCCCATATATTCACTATATTGGTCTCTGGCCTTTCCACACACATGACCTTTAATGGCCCCCCCAGTCTTAGTCCGTAGGGTTCAATATTGAGTTGGCCCCGCCCTTCCCACGCACATGACCTTTAATAGCCCCCCAGTCTTAGTCCGCAGGGTTCAATATTGAGTTGGCCCCGCCCTTTGCAGCTATAACAGCTTCAACTCTTCTGGGAAGGCCGTCCACAAGGTTTAGGAGGGTGTCTATGGGAAGGTTGGACCATTCTTCCAGAAGCACATTTGTCAGGTCAGGCACTGATGTCGGGGGAGGAGGCCTGGCTCGCAGTCTCCGCTCTAATTCATCCCAAAGGTGTTCTATGGGGTTGAGGTCAGGACTCTGTGCAGGACAGTCAAGTTCCTCCACCCCAAACTGACTCCTCCATGTCTTTATGGACCTTGCTTTGTGCACTGGTGGGCAGTCATGTTGGAACAGGACGGGGCCATCCCCAAACTCCTCCCACAAAGTTGGGAGCATGAAATTGTCCAAAATGTCGCCTTAAGAGTTCCCTTCATTGGAACTAGGGGGCCAAGCCCAAACCCTGAAGAACACCCCCACACCATAATCCCCCCTCCACCAAACTTTACACTTGGCACAATGCAGTCAGGCAAGTACCGTTCTCCTGGCCACCGCCAAACCCAGACACGTCCATCGGATTGCCAGACAGAGAAGCGTGATTGGTCACTCCAGCGAACACGTTTCCACTGCTCTAGAGTCCAGTGGTGGCGTGCTTTACACCACGGCATCTGATGCTTTGCATTGCACTTGGTGATGGAAGGCTTGGATGCAGCTGCTCGGCCATGGAAACCCATTCCATGAAGCTCTCTACACACTGTTGTTGGGCTCATCTGAAGGCCACACCAAGTTTGGAGGTCTTTAGCTATTGACTCTGCAGACAGTTATTATTATATTATTATTATTATACAGTATGCAGTTCGCTCAGCGCTGTACATTACAAAGGGGGACAATACACGAGACAGTACAATAACAATACAATGTGATACATGAGGGGTTCAAGGGCCCTGCTCCTTGGAGCTTACAATCTAGGAGGGAGGGGATGGTGGTACAGGAGGAGATAGCTGTGGGGGATGGGGTGGTAGGAAGAGTGGAGGAGGTCGGGAATTAGCAGGGGATGGGGTAGGCTTCCCTGAAGAAGTGGGTTTTCAGGGTGCGCCTAAAGGAGAGGAGAGTAGGTGATAGTCTGATGGATTGGGGTAGGGAGTTCCAGAGGATGGGTGACACCCTGGAGAAGTCCTGGAGGCGGGCATGGGAGGAGGAGACCAGGGAACTAGAGAGAAGGAGGTCTTGTGAGGAGCGGAGTGTGCGTGTTGGGCGGTACTTGGATATTAGGTCAGTGATGTAGTTCGGGGCAGTATGGTGGACAGCTTTGTACATCAGTGTTAGCATTTTGAATTTGATCCGTTGGGTAATCGGAAGCCAGTGGAGGGATTGGCAGAGGGGGGTGGAGGACACTGAGTGGAGGCCAGTGGAGGGATTGGCAGAGAGGGGTGGAGGACACTGAATGGAGGCCAGTGGAGGGATTGGCAGAGGGGGGTGGCAGGACACTGAGTGGAGGCCAGTGGAGGGATTGGCAGAGAGGGGTGGAGGACACTGAATGGAGGCCAGTGGAGGGATTGGCAGAGAGGGTGGCAGACACTGAGTGGAGGCCAGTGGAGGGATTGGCAGAGAGGGGTGGGAGGACACTGAATGGAGGCCAGTGGAGGGATTGGCAGAGGGGGGTAGAGGACACTGAGTGGACGCCAGTGGAATGATTGGCAGAAGGGGGTGAAGGACACTGAGTGGAGGCCAGTGGAGGGATTGGCAGAGGGGGGTGGCGGAAACGGAGTGGTTGGTAAGGTGAATGAGTCTGGCAGCCGTATTCAGGATGGACTGAAGCGGGGATAGCCAGCGGTGAGGCAGGCCGGTGAGGAGGGAGTTGCAGTAATCGAGTCGTGATATGATGAGGGAGTGGATGAGTTGCTTAGTAGTTTCTGGGGTTAGGAACATGCGTATTTTGGAGATGTTGCGGAGGTGGAGTCTACATGAATTTGTCAGTGATTGGACTTGGGGCTGGAAGGATAGATTGGAGTCTAGAATGACACCAAGTACTCTGGCTTGCGGGGGTGGGACTGATGGTGGCATTGTTGGTCGTGATGGAGAAGTCAGGGGGGGGCGCGGGCTGGGGGGGAAAGACTAGAAGCTCGGTTTTGGTGAGATTTAGTTTAAGGAAGTGGAGTGACATCCAATCTGAAATGTTGTTCAGTAGGTGTGTGATTCGGGCAGAGACCGAGGGGGTGAGGTGAGGGGTCGAGAGATAGATTTGTGTGTCGTCAGCATAGAGATGGTAGTTGAAGCCGTGGGAGTGTATCAGTTTGCCGAGGGAGGAGATGTAGATGGAGAAGAGAAGGGGCCCGAGGACGGAGCCTTGAGGGACCCCGACAGAGAGGGGGAGTGAGGGGGAGGTGGCAGCGTTATAGGTAACGCTGAAGAAGCGTTGTGATAGGACGAGAGCCAGGAGAGGGCGGAGTCTCTGAGGCCGAGGGAGTGTAGTTTTTTGAGGAGGAGGGGGTGGTCGACTGTGTCGAAACTGCAGAGAGGTCGAGGAGTAGGAGCACTGAATAGTGGCCATTGGCTTTGGCGGTTAGCAGGTCGTTGGAGAGTTTGAGTAAGGCGGTTTCGGTGGAGTGTAGGGCGGTTTCGGTGGAGTGTAGGGCGGTGTCGGTGGAGTGTAGGGCGGTTTCGGTGGAGTGTAGGGGACGGAAGCCGGACTGTAGGGGATCGAGAAGGTTGTTGATGGTGAGGTGGGAACTCAGGCGATTGTAGACTAAGCGCTCAAGGTGTTTGGATGTAAATGGCAGCAGGGAGATGGGTCTGAGGTTGTTCAGGTCAGTGGGGTCCAGGGAGGGCTTTTTAAGTATGGGGGTGATGTGCACGTGCTTCAGAGGGGAGGGGAATGCCCCAGAAGAGAGGGAGAGATTAAAGATGTGGGTGAGGGAGCGTAGGATGGAGGAGGAGGGAGATCGTAGGAGTTGTGAGGGGACAGAGTCGAGGGGGCAGGTGGTGAGGCGGGCTTCAGAGAAGATCTTAGTGACCTCCTCAGTGGTAGTAAGGTCGAAGGAGTGGAGTGTTGAGGGGGCTTCAGTGTAAGGGATGTTAGGTGGGGTGGAGGTCTGGACAGTGGTGAGGCCAAGGGAGAGGGGTGTTGAGGGGGTTACCGTGTGAGAGGTGATAGGTGGGGTGGAAGTCTGAGCAGTGGCGATGTCCCTGCAAATTGTGTCAATCTTGTTTTTGAAGTGATTGGCAATCTCGAGGTACTGGGTGGAGAGAGTAGAGAGTTGAAAGTAGAGAAGAGCTGGCGAGGGCTGGAGGAGAGGGTATTGATGAGGGTCAGAAAGTAGGCTTGTTTGGCAGCGTGGAAGGAGGAGGTGTAGGTGTGGAAGGCGGATTTATAACGGGTGGCGACTTCTGCGCACTGTGCGCTTCAGCATGCTCATGACCCCGCTCTGTTATGTGACGTGGCCTACCACTTGGTGGCTGAGTGGCTGTTGTTCCCAGTTGCTTCCACTTTGTTATAATCCCACTAACAGTTGAGCGTGGAATATTTAGTAGCCAGGAAATGTCACGGATGGATTTATTGCCCAGGTGGCCACCTATCACGGGACCACGCTTGGAGTCACTGAGCTCCTGAGAGCGACCCATTCTTTCACCAATGTTTGTAGAAGCCATCTGCGTGCCTAGGGGCTTGATTGTATACACCTGTGTCCATGGAGGGGATTGGAACACCTGAATCACATGATAATGGAGGAGATTGGAACACCTGAATCACATGATATGGAGGGGATTGGAACACCTGAATTACATGATTGGGAGGGGATTGGAACACCTGAATCACATGATTGGGAGGGGACTGGAACACCTGAATTACATGATTGGGAGGAGATTGGAAAACCTGAATCACATGATATGGAGGGGATTGGAACACCTGAATCACATGATTGGGAGGGGATTGGAACACCTGAATCACATGATTGGGAGGGGACTGGAACACCTGAATTACATGATTGGGAGGGGATTGGAACACCTGAATCACATGATTGGGAGGGGATTGGAACACCTGAATCACATGATTGGGAGGGGATTGGAACACCTGAATCACATGATTGGGAGGGGGGATTGGAACACCTGAATCACATGATTGGGAGGGGATTGGAACACCTTAATCACAGTATTGGGAGGGGATTGGAACACCTGAATCACATGATATGGAGGGGATTGGAACACCTGAATCACATGATTGGGAGGGGATTGGAACACCTGAATCACAGTATTGGGAGGGGGGCAATACTTTTGGCAATATAGTGTACAAAATGTGAGTGTCAGGATCCAGATCTGAACCCAGGACCTCTGTTTAGTCTGGCAGTGGCTCTTTCTGTTCCACCTGAGAAGCAGGACATCTCCCTGTCTGATTCCGTGGACAATCTTGCCTTGTATGGTGTTTCTTGTGAATTTTAAATTCGTTGCTCCTCCCATCCCATGAACTTCCTATGTATCCCTTTCATGCACAGTGGTCACTACAGTGGACAGACATTTGAAAAGCTATCATCTTGTAGGTTCCTGGGTTCTGATTGTATAGCGGCACATCACCCTGTACATTAGACGCTAGTGAGTCATCCCGTACTCTGCCACCCACTGGTCAGCCATTGTAAGTGCAACAAAAACTTCTCAGAACAAAGATGGCTGACGGAAAGCCAGAAAGGCTGAGCAGCTTAGAAATCTCTTGCCAATCCTATAGGAGGAAACCCTCTGAGGTAAGAAAAAACATATAGTAGCATCAAGTAACACCTAAGGAAACATATCAGATTAGATTTTGATAATGATTTTATTTCGGTTGGAAATGACAATTATTAATCCGTCCACTAAGTTGGACATCATGCATCACTAGTTTCAGTTCATATGTAGCACTACCCTCTTAGGAGACGCTGAAGATTTGGGTCCCCCTATAGTCCTGCACAGCCAGGCATCACACACCTCCACACAGGCTTGCATCCAAAGTCAAAAGTCAGTCCTTGAGCTTTGGTTTTGTTGTTTTTATTCAGGGGATTTGAACTGGGACGGGGTTAGGGGTGTACAGGATGCCCCAAGGGTACTGAGGAACTGAGGACAACTTACGGGAAATATTTTCAAGCGTTCCCTGCAGTACAGTCTCTTTTGGAGAGCTAGTCAGCGTCTCTTTAGTGTAGCACCCCAGACCCCGGATGAACTTCTCCTCTTCACCCAGCTATCCCTGAACAGGGGATCTGGTTCCTGTCCCTTTAAGAGATGAACAGTCACTGGCTGGTGGCTAATCTGGTTCCCCACCAGAGTGCTCCTTCCCCTGTCCACCCAGGGGGTGCAGGGGTACTCACTCAGATCCTCTCCTGTACCTCTGGTGGGATGATGGCTGCTACTATCAGCTGGGCCATTCCTTCACTGCCAGACAGGTAGTCCTCGGTCTGGGGGCCAGTGAGCTCTGAGCTTTCCTCCTTTCCAGATCTAGTCCTGCAGGTAGACCCCATCCCACTGGGCCTCCTCGCAGCCTCCTTCCTCCAGCCTCACATCTTGCTCTTCATTTTCCACCCAAACCCTCCTGCAACTGTGCAGGCTACAACACTTTTAAGGGTGTCCCAGCCCCTTGACATGCCTTCTGTTTGAAGATTGGCTAAAGTCCCTCAAGAGTTCAGCCAGCCACTTCTCAAGGCCTCAGAGGGGCTGGTATTCAGAGCCTCTCTGCTCCTGACCATGATTTGACCTTCTGGCTATTACACCCAGGCTGCTACTCAGCCTTCCTCACTACCAATTAAACACTAGCTCCCCCCAGCTGAACTAGGAGGGTGCTACACATACTATTGCTGCAACTTTGTTTTTATAATAATAATATAGCTGCAGTAACTGTCAATTTCGATATGCTATTAGAATGCAATTTGCAGTTTTTTGTGCCAGGAACATGATTTTGTGCGGAGAGGTTCCATTAAGTAAGTCCAAATTTCAAAAACTGCTTGCAGGTTGTCATAACAGAAGAGACCCTCAAGGTCCCTTTTGTCATAAATGCCCCCCCCCCCTCAGCAATAATGTGATCTGCAGAGCTTACACCACATTTACGCCCCTCTCTGTGTGTTATGGCTCCCATGCCTGGTCATTCAAGTGGTTGAAGATACAAAACCCAGGGGTGTATTTACTACAACGCAAACAAGGCATTTGCCTAGGGCGGCATATTTCAGTTGGGCAGCACTGCCCCTTGGAAGAAGGGAAGGAAGAAGGGGCACACGCCGCATGGGGATGAGGTGGGATCCAAGAGAGGCTTTGGGCTGCTTGATGGTGTATGCAGAGCCTGACTCTCTTTCCAGGGATGTCCGGAGCTGTGAGAGTGAGTGTCTTCTCTCTTTTGATAGGGGGATGGCTAGTGTATGGGGGCGGGTAGTAGTGGAAAGCTCTCTCAGGTGGGGGGGCAGGGGTGTTGATCAATGGCAGGCTCTCTCCGCAGTGGGGAAGGTGGTATTGATTGGTGTCAGGCTCTTTCTGCGGAAGGGGTGGGGGGGTGTTGAGTGGCCAATTTTGGTGTTGCCTAGGGCAGCACAAAACATAAATACACCCCTGACAAGATGGAAGCGCCAGGGACCTAGGGGGGGACTGTGACAGCACAGCACAGGGGGGCTCTCTGCGCAGGCAAGTCATTCAGACTTTACTAGTACATTATGACTCAACCTCCTCAATACGGCTGTACAGTTGTGCTGAAAATACTAGCAGTCAGACATCACTAACCGGATCAATCCCTGTTTTTGGTGGAAATGATATTTCTACATGGCAGATAATTTCCTAGCAGGTGTAGTAGAGTCATAGAAATCCAACAGACCCAACAGTCATGACATGCATGCTGCTGATTCTGTGTCATTGAATCACTCATTGAAAGGGGCGTGTTCACAATAATAGCCGTGTGGAGTTCTATTAGTGAGGTCATTCATTCTTTGATAAACAGGTGGCAATTATTGCCCTTATTTAAGGAAGGAAGGCAGCAAATGTTGGACATGCTGGTTACAGTGCATTTCTCTCTGAAATTCTGAGGAAAATGGGTGGTTCCAGACATTGTTCAGAAGAACAGCGTACCTTGATTAAAAAGTTGATTGGAGGGGAAAACATATAAAGAAGTGCAGAAAATGATCGTCTGCTCAGCTAAAATGATGGCAAATGCTTTAAAATGGCAACCAAAACCTGAAAGATGTGGAAGAAAGCGAAAAACTACCATTGGAATGGATAGAAGAATAGCCAAAATGGCGCGGACTCAGCCACCAATCAGCTCCAGGAAGATGAAAGAAGGTGTGACGTTCCCTGTGAGGACTCCGCCAACAATCAGCTCCAGGAAGATGAAAGAAGGTGTGACGTTCCCTGTGAGGACTCCGCCAACAATCAGCTCCAGGAAGATGAAAGAAGGTGTGACGTTCCCTGTGAGGACTGTTACAATTAGAAGACGCCGATGTGAAGCCAAGCTATCTGCAAGAAGTCCCCGCAAAGTCCCACTGTTGGGAAAAAGCCGTGCTGAAGAGGTTACAATCTGCCAAAGAGCACATTGACCGGCCTAAAGAGAAATGGTGCAACATTTTGTGGACTGATGGAAGTAAGATTGTTCTTTTTGGGTCTAGTGGGCGGAGACAGTTTGTCAGACGACCCCCAAACACTGAATTCAAGCCACAGTACACTGTGCAGACCGTGAAGCATGGTGGTGCAAGCATCATGATATGGGGATGTTTCTCATACTACGGTGTTGGGCCTATTTATCGCATACCAGGGATCATGGATCAGTTTGAATCCATCAGAATACTTGAAGAGGTCATGCTGCCTTATGCTGAAGAGGAAATGCCCTTGAAATGGGGGTTCCAACAAGACAACGACCCCAAACACACCAGTAAACGGGCAACATCTTGGTTCCAGACCAACAAGATGGACGTTATGGAGTGGCCAGCCCAATCCCCGGATCTTCATCCAATAGAAGACTTGTGGGGTGACATCAAAAATGCCGTTTCTGAGGCCAAACCAAGAAATAGAGAAGAACTGTGGAATGTGGTCCAATCATCCTGGGCTGGAATACCTGATCACAGGGGCCACAAGTTGGGGGACTCCATGCAACACAGATGTACAGCAGTTCTCAGAAACAGTGCGACTACAACCAAATATTCATGAAGTCATTCAAAGGAAAGCAAAATCTTCAAACATTTCTCAGTTTATATAGTGAATGTTGGAGTTTGTAAAGAAGAATACAAACACGGCCATTTTTTTTGAACCGTCTAATATTCACTTTTCTTCCATTTTTTTAGAGGAACAACACAAATTTGATGTATTTTTCTTCATGTTGTGATTTGGAATAGAATGTGTCGTGTTCCCAATGCATTTGTGTGGATGGAAATAAAAGATATTAGAAGGATTTTCAGCTTTAGTCACTTTTTTCAACACACTGCGATTATTTTGAACACAACTGTACATGTACGAGATGGTATCAAAAAGTTTGGAGACCAGTTTTGTAACGCGCTAACAGATGGCAGCATAAGGCTGCACGCACAGTCACAGGGAGCACCGACCTTCTGACCACGTGTGTTACCACGTCTGCTATTTCATCATGGACCACAAGTTAGGACAAAGAGCCAACGTGAAATTCTGCGTGAAACCGGGCAATTCAGCCGCAGAGATGTTTGACGCGATTCCTCAAGTTTATGGCGATGCTGCAATAAGTCGTTTGAGGTGTTTTGAGGAAATCTAGAGGGGTCAGATCACGTTCTCTCGTTCCTCGGTAGAGGTGTTGTGGTTTTTGCTTCGTTTTGCTCTTTCATCTGTTATATTATTTCATTTTATCTTCCCGTCGTCTATCCTCCTTCACCTGTGATTGCGCCATTCCTGCCTCCGCTCATTGCCCAGCTGCTTACTGTTACCTTTCCGGAGCCGATGATGAACTGGAGAAATCTATATCAATAGATGACTGGAGGATGATGAAGTGGAGTTCCCTGCCGTGTGCACAAAAGCTCCAGTTAAGGCCATCACTCCCCGTCTGTCACTTCATCCACCCGGAGTCCTCCTGGAGGTTTTTTCCGCGTATAATGGAGGGGTAGTCCACATGGTGGCAAGGTGGTGATGGATTGCATATTATGAAGCATTTATTTGTTTATTTATTGATTGGCTTTGTGTTGGTAAATGCGGACGCGGTGACACGCTAATAAACTCTTCACAGGCGCTTCCTTTCCCCGTCTCTCTCTCCGGGAAATGTGTCTGGTGTGTTGTGTACAGTTTTCACCAGGCCTGACATATCTTGGATTGAGTTCCATTCCCCGGGAAGATTTATCATTTAATTATAC